ATATTATATACTAATCCCCACTAGATATATAACTCCTAATGGCACGTTTAAAAGCTGCTAGACTGCCTGACATTCTTAATTCATCTGATAAGCTACTGATCCATGCAGAGGCAGCAAGATACCTGAAAGAGTGAAGTCCAAAAGTTCTAGTCTTCACCGCTGGTATCTGTAATTTCCTTCTACCCCTTAAATTATATGCACTTTGACTGCGCTCTTTGGGAAGTGATGCGATATACCCAGGAGCCATGTTGTAAAGGCCTTTGTAAACCATACTTAATATGTCCTGGACTCTTTTATCTTTTAGTGATACCATATCAAGCCTGTTCAGTAAAGCTGAATACGAACTTGATCTGTCTCCAAGGACTAGCTGAAGCACTCACTTATTTACTATCTCTAGCTTATTAGAATTCCGTGCTCCACAATAATGCCATACAGCACTAAAGTACTGAAAGATAGGTTGTATAAATGCCCTGTATAAATGCAACCGTATGGATCCAGAGGGACATTGTGTTGTGTTCTTAGGCAAGACACTCTACTCTCACAGTACCTCTCTTCACCCAGGTGTATAAATGGGTACCGGTGAATTTAATGCTGGGGGTAACCCTGCGATGGACTGGCATCTCATCCAGGGGGGAGTAGAAATACTCCTAGTCACTTCATGCTATGGAAACCGGAGTTAAGTGCTGGCCTGACGAGCCACATGGCTCATGTGTAGGCTTTACCTTTTTTACTTTTACAAGAATTTTTGAGATTTGTATTTCCTTTCTCCGATGGAAACTGTCTTTATTTGTGACGGTAAATTTGAAATCGAAGTAGGTGGTTCACACGTTACATCATTGCTACCATGCTGGTGGAAGTAAACAATAGACATCTCATATTTAGCTCCTTTTGTTCATCTACCAGGCACCTAAGGGACCTCTCCTTTTACAGCGCACCTTAGTGTTTAAACGAGCAAGCAGAAGTGCCATTTTATGGCTAGCAGTCGAAACAATTCAGCCAAAATATAAATAATACGCTAATTGACTTGAAACTGCTGAATAGAGAGATATCAAGTACAACCATTTGCAGCAAATCGCAAAATACAAACTTGGGAAAGATTTCTGATAACCCTAACCCAGTCAAAAGAAAGACGTAATCCCGAAGGTAATCTGTTGTTTTGCCTCTGCTTTCTTTTATCGAAGAATTGTATGCATAATTAACGAAGTCTGGGATTACACGGAAATCTTGCCCGAACATGTCTCAAGCAAACAGAAAGTGCTGACCGAAGCACAAAGCCACGATTTATATCAATCTGTCTTTTATAATAAATGTTTCATGGCTAGAAGCAGAACAAATCCAGTCAAATTCGTAAAAATGATAACGAATAAGTGAATCGACACAACAAGCTATTGAATAAAGAGGTATCAAGTATAGCTATGCTGACCAATTCGTTAAATACGAACATCTCTACGACAAACAGGAAGTTCGAAGCACCAAGTAGCCGCGAGAGTGAAGACAATTCCCTCGCTAGTAATAAAAAGTTAAAACGTACGTATCTGGTATATTAAAGACTTTACCTTGGCGAGAATCGTCAGCTTAAAAAACGTTGAACAAGTCTTTCGAGGCAGAGATCAACTGCACCTTCTCCTCGGCCATTGCCGACTTTCATATCGTGGGAGACTGGAGTGAGTTTTGCCAACGCCGGACAAAATTTTTAAATATGGCCGCCAAAGGCAGGAGAATCTACAACAGCCTCCAGTGGATCTTCTACCTCTACAGGGAAACAAGACAAGGGAAAGGGATGGCACTGGAATTGTGCAGCGGCTTTGTATACAAACAACTGGAGAAAGCACTGGTCGAAAGGAAAAAGAGAAAACCTGTACGATCTACCGGATCGTGTCTGTAATGAACAGTATGTTCAAAGTCTTGAGAAATCTGCATCAAAATGTGCAAATTTGAAAGCAAAGAGGCTGTTTGCAGCTAAGCGATCGTTAGAGTATTCATCTCGTGAAGTAAAATAAAAAAGGCGAATAATCGTCAAGAAAGAAAGAGAGAAGGATAAGGAGATAACTCCTGTACTAAATCAGGCTTCTGGGAAAGATGAAAGTCAATACAGACTAGAAAATGAAATACTTAGAAATCAGTGTGAGGAGCTGCATGGCAAGTAAATTGAAAGAGAAAGACAAAGAGATGGAAAGGCTGAAATGTCAGGTAGAACACTTGCTCACTGAATGAGATTTTGCCAGTCTTCCTAGTTTTAAGTCGAAGGAAAATATGAAATTGTGATTGAAAATAGTCTTATCTAATGTTATGTTGTTTTGAGCTTTTGTTTTATCAGTATTGACTTGTTTTCAGTCATTTCATGTATGATTCTAAGAATAGCCCACCATTCAATAGTTCTATGTTTGGTTAATAGGATTAAGTCTTTTAAGTGTCACACAATGATTATTGTTCTGTCATGCAATGCTTTAAAATTGTCTTGTTAGTGCCTTGCTATTGTATGACAATCGATTGTATTTTTTACTAATTGTTTTATTTCATTATTTTAAATTATTGATTTGTTATTTGTCATTTATTATTTCTTTTAGCTTGCAATCACCCTTTCTTTTTATCAGTATTATTTCTTTTGTACTTTCCTGTATAAATAAATTTTATTGTGGCTATAAGTCTGTCTCGTTGTTCAAATGGATGGGTTGGTAGAAGCCATGAAAACATGTTCTCTGTGAAGAAATGTTTATAATTAGTGTACAGAAGGCAACATTACAAAACACACACAAAAATCATAACTTTGCAACACCACGATATCCATCAACCTACAAATCAAAGAATAACTATGACCAACTTGTGAATAAAATAAACTAGAAATAAACATGTTTGTTAATTTGCTTGAGAACTTAAAAGTCTCTCTGGTCAGTGTCTCCAGTATATAAAAGTGGAGATATACCAATTAACTCTCTCACATTCACCATTCAGTAATGTACTTGAAGGACTCATTTATAACCAACTATAATTATTCCTTCATAGAAAAACACCAAATTTTATACAAATATCAGTTTGGATTCAGGAAAGGATACTCCACTGAACAGGCTATTCTTGAGATTACAGACAACTTAAGGCTTGCAAATTGATAGAAAGCAGTTAAGTCACATGTGGTCTGTTTCTTGACTAACTGTCAAAGACCTTTGACACAGTAAATCACAACATTTTACTTTCTCTTCATGTGGCATTCGAGGAGTCTTGCATAGATGGTTTGAGAGTTATTTTCAAAACCATAGCCAATTAATATATTAAAATTGACTTCACAAAATCCGTCAATGAAAATATAACATGTACAGTGTAGTAAAACTCAAGGTTCAACTTTAGGTCCACTTTTCTTTCCACTTTATGTTAATGATTTACCAAATTGTACTGATAAACAGTGCAGAGCTTTGCTGATGGTATCAACTTGTTCTTTACTAGTGACAACCCACATAACCTTGACTCTGTTATGAGTCATGAGCTAAAACAAATCTATAAATACTGTGCACGAAATAAGTTATCTATTAATTTTGCAAAAACTAAGTTAAACTACATGTTAATTTCATCTCCCAGACACCACCCTACAATAAATATTGAAAACATTGAACCAAAAGATTAACACCTGGGAGTCTATATCGATAAGCACCTAAATTGGCAGCCACAGATACAACATATAAACAACAAAATAGCAAAAATGCTGAGATTCTCACCAACCTAGTTTTAAGTCGAAGGAAAATATGAAATTGTGATTGAAATTAGTCTTATCTAATGTTATGTTGTTTTGAGCTATTGTTTTATCAGTATTGACTTGTTTTCAGTCATTTCATGTATAATTCTAAGAATAGCCCACCATTCAATAGTTCTATGTTTGGTTAATAGGATTAAGTCTTTTAAGTGTCACACAATGATTATTGTTCTGTCATGCAATGCTTTAAAATTGTCTTGTTAGTGCCTTGCTATTGTATAACAATCGATTGTATTGTTTTATTTCATCATTTTAAATTATTGATTTGTGATTTGTCATTTCTTATTTCTTTTAGCTTGCAATCACCCTTTCTTTTTATCAGTATTATTTCTTTTGTACTTTCCTGTATAAATAAATTTTATTGTGGCTATAAGTCTGTCTCGTTGCTCAAATAACAACATCAGAACCTGCCTCGGTCACTGATTGTTCAGAAATCTGTATGTAATTGATACAAAGAACTGGGATGATCTGACTTAAATGAATCATACATGTATTCAGCAGCTAAATGTAAAGTAGTGTATCATTTTTAAGTCCATTAAGCATGGCTTTTGTTT